GATGTTGGGGTGAAGAAACTTCTCTTTCTTTGCAAGGGATTTGGGGCGGTCTTGAGCAGTGTGTTCTTACAGGCACACATGCCATGCACCACTCTGAGTAGTTGTCTATATGGACTGTAGTTCTTAGTCCTAGTGGTCATGAGCTGTGGGGGTGCAGCGGTGAGCGTGCAGTGGTTTTTGCTGCACCCGGGGATGGTCTTTTGGATCGTACAAGTCTGTGGTCAGGTGATCCTCTCTATAGTGCTCACTGGACCAGTGGTGCTCAAATTGGACCTTGGGTTACCAGGAAAGGCAGATATATCCGAGAACTTTCTGTATAACATACCCCCACTTTCACAGATCCAGCTGCCTTATGTGATTTCTGGGGCCTGTCAGCCATGCGTGTGCATGGAGGCTGGTTCATTCGAAGGGGGGAGGACTAGCGACAATATAGGACCCTGGGTCCTGGCCTCACAGTAGTGGGAATGAGACTAAGGTAGACTCTAACTGCCACCCTCCCTGTGTGCTGACTCAGGATGCAGTGACCTTCCACGACGTGGCTGTGAACTTCACCCCGGAGGAATGGTCATGCCTGGAGGCCTCTCAGCAGAAGCTCTACAGGGACGTGATGCTGGAGACCTACCAGCATCTGCAGGCTGTAGGTGAGAGCAGTGTGGAGCCAACCTTGTCTGGACAGACCTGCTTGGGCTCCCTGGGTTTGGGCCGCAGCTGTGTGTTCAACAGTAGCTGTGACTGACGGGCTGGTATGTTGAACAGCCATGAGGTGTTTGTTCCCTCCCTGTGTTTTTTTAGGGTTCACCTGTGGATACTCAGGGCTTACTCTCAACTCTGTCCGTAGGAATCAGTCTTGTGAAGTAGCAGGACCCTGTGGGGTGATTTAGATCAACCCGTTTCGACTGTGTCCGTGGGAATATCCCTATCTGCCCAGTTATCGCTCAGGTCCCTTTAAATAGTTCCATCCATTGATGAATCAATTTGCTTCGTGTACTACACAAGCTTCCGTGTGTTTAATTGGCTTTGCTCTTGCCTTTGTTTAGGGAGCACAGTCCACAGTTCTCCTGGCTCTGTGCTAAACGATGACTCCTAAGAGTGCTCAGAAACCGGGATACCATGGACTGAAACCTCTTGGCAATTTAAAACATTGGTGCATGACTCCCAATACTTTTGCACCAGGCACTCAAATCAGACGGTTTTTGCTTTTTCTTTTTTCCTTAGGTTTAGGAAAAAAGAATCAGGATTACGGCCTGATTCTTTTCATTATTACATGCACATAATAATAATTATTATTATTATAGTAATAATTACAGTAGTTATTATAGTAATTATAATGATAGTAATAATAATTATTATGATGTAATAACTGCCCCTCTCGGAGAGCCCGGCAAGCTACCGAGAGTATTCGATATGCCAGACACAGTAACAACAAAGTCTCCAATGGAGATGTTACTGGGCCCGCTCGAGCAAATCGACGATCAACGGGAGGGCCTTTACCTTTACCTTATGATGTAATAATAATAATAACGTAACGGCCAGAATCCAGAGATTATCACACCCTTTACGACATCTTATCATCTCATTCCTACTTTGGACAAACTGGCAGGCTACCGAATTTATCTTACCCACATGGCAGTCTGGCAAGCTCCCCGTGGAGTACCCAATATGCCAAATACCAATAATAATGAAGGGTCTCATTCTCCTAACTATGAAAGAGTCTTGAATATGGGACTTTTTTTTTAAAAATCTCAGGGGTAGGACGAAGGAGACGTTACTGGGGCCTGCTCGAGGCAATCGACGAATAACAGGATGGTTGTGATTGTGATTGTGATTAGGGATTATTCCTGCCTGTGTATTCAGGATCCACACCTGGCCTTGCTCCAAGACCTTATGGGCTGCCTGTGATCAAACCCACATGTGTGTGCAGCACTTCTGTCCTATGTGCTGTACTATCTCTCCCACCACCGGGGCTTTGATATCTCTTCTCTCAACTCATCAGACACTGCCGTATTTCAGTGCTTGGAGATACTTCTAATGGTTCTTGTGAGACTTCAGCAGGACTCAGGCTTTGCTCCTGGACTCTGCACTCAGGGATCACTCCTGGCTGGCGTGAGGGACCCTAGGGGATGTCGAGTATTGCAACTGGATTGGCTGTGAGAAACTCCTGCTGTGCTCTCTTTCTGGATACATTTTTAGCTTAAAAAAATAAGGGTCTCTTGCCACCTTTGGCCATTTCCAGATTTATTAAGCACTTAGTTTTACTGAAATTCTTGATGAGTTCATGAGGGGCTCAGGAAACTCCATGTGGTGTTAGGCCTAGACAGACAGTATGGTTAGGAAAGTGATTTTCTTGCAAGCAATGCACCTGGGTTAAATCCCCGGCATCCCATGTCATCCCCGAGCACCAGCAGTGCTGATTTCAGAATACAGAATCAGGAGTCATCCCTGAACATTGCCAGGTTAGACCCCAAACAAGACAAAAACCAACAACATACTGTGCTGATCAACACCCTGTTGGCCATAAACAAGGCCTGGTCTATTGTATTTGTGGTATTTTCTTGGGTCTTACCTCTCGAATAACTAGAAATATGTGGCATTTTGGAAATGGACATTGTGTTCATGCCTTTCATTAATTTGCCCTGTTATATCAGGAAACACGGGGATTTACCTGTCACCTTTTCCTTGTCACTTATCCATGCCTCTGTCTCTGTTGTGGCAGGGCACACTGGGATGAAGCCTGCGGTGATCTCCTGGCTGGAAGGAGGAGCCCTGAGGTCAGGGAGGAGAGACTTGTGTTTAGGTGAGTGTCTGAGGACCCTTCCTGGCTCAGGCCCTGTGCAGTGTATGGGTGCCCTGAGCATGTATGAAACACGCTGCTGAGGCTGGGGCCTTGGGCTCCTGGATCCATGGCTCTGTGCCACACTCACACTCCTCTTCATTCCCATCGTATGTCTGTCCAGAATGACTCTGTACATTGCTTCCATGGCTTTCGAATAAGTAAGACCATAACAGAGCTAGTTTGGATCTGAACGATAGTGCAGCAGGGAGTGCCTTGCAGTGCCTGAATGTGACCTGTTCAATAACCTGGTTCCCCGAACATCACCAGGTCTGCTCAAAAACAAAAACAAAACCTAGTGTAGAATTGCAAAGATCCTTACCGTTTTCCACTAACCTAATCTTTTCTTTAGTGTAGGATTTTATGGACTTTGAATACCACAGAGATGTACTCCAACTACATGGCATCATTTTGCTACATTTTTGACAATTGCTTTAACTGCATGTTGTGTTCAGTTTCAGAGCTGAAAACACGGATTCAAGATTTGGCATTACAGCACTTTGATTTAGGAATGGGGTCCGCAAGTACGAGTGAGTTGGTAAGATTTTTAATTCAGAATAAATTATTATGCCAGCGGGAGTGGACCAAATATGTGATTGTTAGGGTGGAGGGCTATGAATGGCAGGGAGGAATTCCAAAGCCTGATGCTTGGGGTAGAGGACCCTTAGCTTTACTAGGTGCTGAAATCAACCATGTATAAAAATGCTGTGAGTTTTCATTTGCTTGACAGTTATAGTCGTTTAAAAAGCTAATTTGTGGGCCCTGGAGATAGTGCAGTGAGAAATATACTTGCTTTGCACAGGGATGGATGGTCCTTACCCAGCACTCCTTATAGACACCGTAGACCCACAGAACTGATCCTAGATACTGCATGGTGTGCCCCACCCAACCCCCAATAAATAGAAACTACAAAACATTAAGAACAAAAAACTTTGTTGATGCTGAAAGCAATCACTTGTGGTGAGAGCTTTGCAATAACCACGTGGTCTATCTCAGCTGTGTGAGGATGCAGCGTTGTCTTCACCCCTTCATCACAGGTTCCACTCTGAGCTTTAATCAAACCCACTGTGGTTGTATCTCATTTTCTCTTGAAATGGATGCATCAGTTTTCTATAGAAGGAATTATTTCAAGTTGTATTCCTTCATTAAGTTAACGGTGGGGGGAAGTCACAGAATTTTATGAATCTGCTTCCATCAATTTTGTGCGTCGAACTTACATTTACATGAAGTTATTCTGTAATAAGACAATCCTTACGTAGGTAGTTACATTTGTGTGGTGCATATGTTAGAAACCTCACCTGGGGCTGGAGCAATAGCACAGCGGGCAGGGCATTTGCCTTGCACGTGGCCAACCCGGGTTCGATTCCCTGCATCCCATATGGTCCCCTGAACACCGCCAGGAGTAACTCCTTAGTGCAGAGCCAGGAGTAACCCCTGTGCATCACCAGGTGTGACCCCCCCAAAAAAGAAACCACATCTGAAGGCTCAGTTTTTTGACAGGAAGACTCGGTGAATAAGTTAATAATTGGACTCCTTCTCTGCTCTTCCTACAGGGAAGCAGCCAACCCAAGTGGAATATCTCTGATTCTGCACTCTATGACAATATCTCTAGTGAGCAATCCTGCATTCAACCCCATGAGGACGCCAAGACGTGTGGGGTGTCTTCTGAGGGTGATCAGAATGGCGAGAGCTACCTCACTCTGAAGAAGCCCTCCCTTGGAAAAAGTTCCTTGGAGTGTGGTGTTCTCAGTTCACAGTCACAAAACCCCCAGTCTGGCAACCACTAGGGAAAGAAGCACTGTTTATAGTGAGTCCCTCACAGCGACAAACTCTCAATCACAGTCACTGTGAACAGAACCCATCTAAGTGTAAGGAATGTGGCGGAGCCACCCCATGTTCTCAGCACTGTGGTATTCCCTTAGAAAACTACAGTGGACAGCATCCCCGGAAAAGTGAGCACCGAGAACAAAGTGTGAGTCAAGGGTTATTCCATCATGACCATATGAATATAAATTCAGGAGTGAAACCTTATGCGTGTGAAGCATGTGGGAAGGCCTTCAATCAATCATCACATCTTTTTAGACATAGGAGAATTCATACAGAAGAGAAATCTCATAAATGTCAGACATGTGGGAAGGCCTTTATTCACACCTCATCTCTTTATAGACATAAGAATACGCATAGTGGAAAGAAGACTTATATATGTCAGGAGTGTGGAAAGGCCTTTGCTGGAGCCTCAAAACTTACTGTACATAGGAGAATTCACACGGGAGAGAAACCATATATATGTAAGGAATGTGGAAAGGCCTTTGCTAAAGCCTCAATATTTACAGTACATAGGAGAATTCACACTGGACAGAAGCTTTATATATGTGTGCAGTGTGAAAAGGCCTTTACTACATCCTCACAATTGACTGTACATAGGAGAATTCACACTGGAGAGAAACCGTTTATATGTAAGGAATGTGGGAAGGCCTTTGCTAAAGCCTCAAGACTTAGTGAACATAGGAAAATTCACACTGGAGAGAAACCATATATATGTAAGGAATGTGGAAAGGCCTTTGCTGCAGCCTCAAAACTTACTGTACATAGGAGAATTCACACTGGAGAGAAACCATATATATGTAAGGAATGTGGAAAGGCCTTTGCTGCAGCCTCAAAACTTACTGTACATAGGAGAATTCACACTGGAGAGAAACCGTATATATGTAAGGAATGTGGGAAGGCCTTTTCTGAAGCCTCAAGACTTACTGTACATAGGAGAATTCACACTGGAGAGAAACCGTATATATGTAAGGAATGTGGGAAGGCCTTTTCTGAAGCCTCAAGACTTACTGTACATAGGAGAATTCACACTGGAGAGAAACCGTATATATGTAAGGAATGTGGGAAGGCCTTTGCTATAGCCTCAAGACTTAGTGATCATAGGAGAATTCACACTGGAGAGAAACCGTATATATGTAAGGAATGTGGGAAGGCCTTTGCTAAAGCCTCAAGACTTAATGAACATAGGAGAATTCACACTGTAGAGAAACCATATATATGTAAGGAATGTGGAAAGGCCTTTGCTGGAGCCTCAAAACTTACTGTACATAGGAGAATTCACACTGGACAGAAACTATATATGTAAGGAATGTGGGAAGGCCTTTGCTGTGACCTCAATAATTAATGTATATAGGAGAATTCACATTGGATAGAAACCATATATATGTAAGGAATGTGGAAAGGCCTTTGCTGGAGCCTCAGACTTATTGAACATAGGCGCATTCACGCTGTAGAAAAACGCTTGAGCACCCTGCAGCTCCTAGTTTGGGAACTTGAGGGGAAGGACACGCCAGCTTGTAGGGCATTTTTGTGTTGTTTTTTCAAAACTTTTTCTGCATATCTAGGTATTAGGGAATGTGGAGCTTTTGAGGGTTGCATTGGGGGCTGTTCTGTGGCGAAGGTGTCATGGGTGAGGGTGCATTATGCTGAGGGTCCCTGCAGCCAAGATCACATCCAGGTCCAAGATGGCATATGAACTTTGGGCCTTGGTGTGAGGGACCTGCAGACAGTGGTGGTCTTGGCAATCTCATACTTCCCTACTCGGGACTGTGCAGGGCCCTTTTTGGAGCCTTTGGACTGGAGATAACACTTATCAAACCTCCAGATATGTTCACGCGAAGCCCCGAAAGGAAAGGGACACTTTTCTGGTCCGTCATTTTTATTGGCTCCTGTGCTGGGGTTGGAAATTTGGGGTGTGTCTGCACAAGTGAGAGGGTTTTGCCTCTGAAAATTTACTGTTTGTATTATTTATTTATTTTGTTTTCTTCTTTTTGAGTTACAACCAGCGATGCACATGGGGTTACTCCTGGCTTATGCAGTCAGGAATTACTCCTGGCAGTGCTCAGGGGAACATATTGTTTCCAGGATTTGAACCCGGGTTTTTTTCGTGCAAGGCAAACCTCCTACCCGCTCTGTTATCACTGCTGCTTAATGGCTATGATCCCAAAGATTCAGAGACAAATCTCAAAACCCAGCGGCTCTTGGCAGAAATGAGTCTGGACCCTGCTGTAGGTTACTAACCCCGGGCCACCCCAGAGGGAAGTGGTACTGTCCCTCCACCTGCTCCCCCTTGGCGGCTCACTGGCCACCATCCTCCAGAAGCCATTGGAAAGTCACGTTTGGGCCCGCAGTGATGAGATATGTGGAGCTTCACAGGATGGGGGGATGGGAGTGGAGGTGGCCCTTTCCTCCACGACCCAACAATAGCTTAGATCATGCCCACGAACTGCCTCTCTGGCTCCTGATAAAGCTGCTTAATGGCCATGATCCCAGAGAGTCAGGAGAAAATCTGGAACTCAGCAGGTCTTGAAAGAAATCCCTCCATATTATTACAATTTCAAAATTACAAAATCATGTTGTTTATAACCAGCAATAGAAAACAAATTGTCTACTGTTGCCTTTTTGAACTATCTGAGTGCTGGGGTTAAATCCCAAATATAATAATGGTGGGTCTGGTGTCAAAATATTGAATGTAATCAAAGTAGAGAGAAATGTAGAAATCATCTGTCCCCACAGTTAGGGGTAGGGTGTAGAATGGGGGTATACTTGGGGTTTTGGTGGCGGAAAATGGGCACGGTAAAGGGACTGGTGCTTCATTGTATGAACGAGACTTAAACCCAAAAGTTTTGTAACTTCACTCAGGGCGATTCAAAAAATAAAATTATCAAAAAAAGGGGGGGAAAGTACGGTGGAGTTCATGCCCATTTCAGTCAGCCTAATCAATAGCCGAATAAACAACAATACTCCTGCAAATAATCTTTTTCTACTTCCACATGTCCAATTGCAAACAATCCCTTTCTCTTCATCTCTCCCTGACCAGAACATCAGGAAAACTGGCTCTTTGGGGTGGCTACATCAGTATACTTGTTTTATCTTTTCCTGAAAGGGAGATATTTGAGTATGGGGAAGGGGAGTTTTGCTCAGGGGTCACTGCTGGTGTGCTGGGAAAAAAAAAATTACTTGGAAATGGCCAGAGCAATAGTACAGCAAGTAGGGTACTTGCTTGCATGTGGCCAACCCAGGAGTCCTCCACTCCACAACACCTTTGAGTTGCTCATTGGACATTGAGTGTCCCCTTCTCACCCCTAGAACAGTTGATGTGACGATATGGCGTGGGGGAGGAGTGTCTAGAGTTTTGGTCCAACCCAGTGTTGCTTTCTTTTGGTCCTGCTGGGTCAGTGCTTAGGTGTTACTCACAGGAGCATTGTCCATTGGGTTTGTCTCTGGGGTGGCTGCGTGCACGTCCATCAGCTTCTAATATAGTTCCATTGTAGTAGATCAGGATTCCATCCAGTGACTACTGGGGCCTGTCACCCTAAAGTGTTGGTGGAGGCCGGTTCCTCCCTTGTGGAGTGGGGAAAAGGGAGATCCCTGAGAACCCCTAGGGTGCTGCAGTGTCTCATCCTCAGGCCTATTGTGTGTATTGGGATAGCCTCCTCCTATCCTAGTGTGTGCTGGTTCGAAATGTGGTTACCTCTGTCAACATGGCAGTGAGTTTCACCCCAGAGGGATGAACATACCTGATTGCCTCTCAGAGGAATCTCTAAAGGGATGTTATGCTGGAGTCAGAAGAGGAGCAAAGATATGGAGGACCACTGACTGATGGTCAGAATGGCTTGTTTAATGTGAAGCTTTTAGCATAACTACAGAGCATTGAAGGTTGTTGAGCTATAGGACTACACATAGGGGTGACTGATCATTTACAGAGGTAAAGCATTTTTGTTTGTTTTTTGCTTTTTGGGTCATGCCTGGCCATTAACAGGGGTAACTCCTTGCTCTGCACTAAGGAATTTACTCCTGGATGTGATCGAGGAACCATATGGGATGCTGGGAAAAGAACCCTCATCATTTGCGTGCAAGGCAAATGCCCTTTCTGCTGTGCTATGGCTCCAGCCCCTACAGAGGTAAAGGGTTTTGATGGAGACAATTCTGGAGAATTCAAGGAGACACTGTCTCCCAGTGGCTATACAGAGAGATTCTCCCAGGGTCAACAGCATTATATTGCTTTCCTCTTTATCTACTAGAAAATATTAAACAATTAAATTTACTTCTTATTAATAATTGCAGATATGTGGATAAAGGTAAGGTAAAGGCCCTCCCGTTGATCGTCGATTTGCTCGAGCGGGCCCAGTAACGTCTCCATTGGAGACTTTTGTTGTTACTGTGTCTGGCATATCGAATACTCTCGGTAGCTTGCCGGGCTCTCCGAGAGGCGCGGAGGAATCGAACTCGGGTCGGCCATGTTGGCCGCGTGTAAGGTGAACGCCCTACCGCTAGCAGACACAGTAACAACAAAAGTCTCCAATGGAGACGTTACTGGGCCCGCTCGAGCAAATGTGGATAAAAATAGTAAGAAATATAGATTCCAAAATTTAGTTCTCTGGACTCTGAGGGCAAGGTTGCTGGGCTTCTACCATAAATCCCATACTAGGTCTTCAGGCCGGTACAGCTTGTCCTTCATGAGGTCCTGTCTCTTAAGTCATAACAGCTAATATCAAGACTGTTCTTTCATGCTTTCTAGACTATTCCATTTCGATTCCAGGGTAGTTTTGCTATTTTCCCCAGATCCATCTCAGCCCTATGGGGGCCTTCCTTTTTGGAGTGTTAGGAAGTATGGCAACTGAAGCTTGAATCAAGTAAATATGACAGGTGCCAGGAGTAGATGTATTTCAGGATATGGGCCAAATATTAGGAGCCTATCATTAATAGTCTATCTGTGGTTAAACAAAGAACATTGCTCTATAGTAGAGTATAAAAGGGCTAATGGGAATATAGAATAGGAAGTATTCACTTTAAATACAAAGTTCAGATTCACCTAAGTCATCAAACCTCACTTGGGGAATTGTAAGCTCAAAGTAAAGGTAAAAGAGAAATTCAGGGAATTACAGATGTTACAAAAGCACTGTGGGGAGGGCGCTTCCTTACGTAAAGCAAACCAGGTTCAATCACTGACCTTCCATGGAGCCAATACTACCAGAGATGATTCCTGAGCGCGAATACAGGATTAACCCTTGAGCATCGCCAACTGTAACCCAAAACAAAACTGCATACAGTGCTGGTAGCTTAGTGGTATTATCTGGGACTCCCTTATTTCACTTTTAAGTTTAAATCTTGTCTTATTCCTCACTCCCCACCAATCTTTGGCATATTGAAAGTGGACGTTATGATCATGCCTTTTCAATAGTATGACCAGTTAGACCAGGGACACACGAGGTTTACTTGTCGCCTTTTCCTTCCTTGTGACTAATCCAGTCCTCTGTCTCAGTGGAGCAGGGCCTTCTGGGGTGAAGCCTGCGTTAATCTCCTGGCTGGAAGAGGAGCCCTAAAGCCGCGGAGGTGAGGTGTGTGCAGGTGAGTGTCTGAGGACCCTTCCTGGCTGGGTCCCTGGGCAGTGTGTGCATGCTCTGAGTGTGTGTGAAACATGCTACTGTGTCCTCGGGCCACTGGATCAGGCGTCTGTACTGCACTCACGCTGCCCTTCACTCCCCGGAGCTGTTCGTTATGGAGAGATCCTGTGCTTTGCTTTCTTGACTTTCTTGTCATTCTTCCTCGTCTGTCAGGTATGTCGAATAGTCCATGAGTTTCAAGACCCTGGTCCCCCCCAGCTGAATAACCAGGCTGACTGTACACCTACAGGGCCGGGTACCCTTTCTGGACCCCTCTCTGTCAATATGACACCATGCTTATCTGCTTATCTTTGCCTTCGGATCATTACCATGTTTTTTTGAATAAGGTAAGGTAAGGTAAAGGCCCTCCCGTTGATCATCGATTTGCTCGAGCGGGCCCAGTAACGTCTCCATTGGAGACTTTGTTGTTACTGTGTTTGGTATATCGAATACGTCATGGGGAGCTTGCCATCTGCCGTGCGGGCGAGATACTCTCAGTAGCTTGTCGGGCTATCCGAGAGGGGCGGAGGAATTGAACTCGGGTTGGCCATATTGGCTGCGTGCAAGGCAAACACCCTACCACTGTGCTATCTTTTATTTTGGGGCCTGGGGATGATCAACAGTTATTCCTGGTGTTTCTCATAAGTTGCTGTTGGCAATGCTCAAGGATCAACCCCTGTCA